GAGAACTAGAGCGTACTAGAGTCACTGGATGGTATTGTTTGATAAGAGTTCGGACACAGCTGAACTTTTGTCCTTTTCTATTTTCTATAATACAATGCTTTAAGTGAATAAAAGAATAAGACATATATTCTGCTCTTTGTCTTTTCAATTTCCCTAGTAGCGCCTGATTGTCAGATACGATTTTAGAGGTTATATATTCTGTCAAACCAATCATAGCCGTAGATGGACCATGAGTATAGGGTACAAACACCCACTTCGACTTATACACTTCTAGCAGTACAACTGTTACATAAATGAAAAGAATCCATGTAAGAACATTTTAATATTAGAAAATATACACATATGGATAAACTTATAGCTATAATTCCTTATTGTATGTGAAACTGTACTCCAGTGATGAGTATAAAACATGAAGTTATTTATATTAAATTAAAGGTATAGGTATTCTCAATATACAGGAAGTGACATAAGTACTTTCAAGTGAAGTATTCCTGAGACAGTTATGAGAAATAAAGTCTATATAAGCTTTTGTGTCCGGAAATGCTTCATTTCGGAGATACAGGGTGATGAAATACAGAGAACAAATCATTTTTCGATAAACATTTGATAGGAAAAAAGTAGTTTATTTTGACGAGACCTACCAAATACTTGGTTTTATAAAGTTCTCAGCAACTCCACTTAAGGGGCCTAGGAGCTAAGTAACATGGATCGATATAGAAAATATCTCCAAAACGATGACGTCCAGCGTGATTAAGTTCCTTATAATAATTCCCTTGATACATAAATAACTATTCACTTTTCACTGTTAAATTTTAAATTTGGTCGGCATCAAAAACGCCATTCAATAATATATATCACTTTGTAGTTTACTTGCTTTTGGTTTCGTTTTCAAATTTTCAATTTCATCATGATTATTTTGTTTTGTATTTTGTGTGATGATAATAATGGAATTTTGTTCTCGAAATCGCCTGCTTTGTAAATTAATGGAACAGCAGATTCTCACAGACAGATTTTGAAGTTTTCTGTTTGAAAAATGGACCTAAAATATAGTTTCATTCTAATCAGATGCTGTTATAAAAAGTGAATTTCAATGAGTACCTCACAAATTTCGCTCGTCTCCAAATTGATTTTGCACCCAGAGGCCATTTATTCATATCTTCCTTCCATAAGCGAATGGTTGATATTTGTTTCGGAAAATTGAATAAATGATACAGTGCAGACTCGATAATCCGAACTAATAAAAACCAAGGCGATTTGGATTACCAAAAAATTCGGATTACCGAAGCAGTTTTTTTTTAAATTTTTTATCACGAAATGCAAAAAAAAACATGAATACAAAAAAGTAACACTAAAATATGCATAAAAGTAAGAATATAATACTAGTTTCTAAAGTAATTTGTAATTTTTGTTTGCTTAACACATCTTTGATTATTTATAAAGGCCATTTCTTTTAATCTTTGAAGTACAAGAATATCATTTAACGGAATATTATTTTCTTCCTTGCGTAATGTGAATCCCAGATACTAACAAAAGAACAATAATTAGGGGAATCCCTGAACATTTCACTCACAATTTCTATAGGAAATAAATAGGCCTAAAGGTATAGGTTCGGATTATCGAGTACTATGAAATTCGGATTATAGAGTACTCAATTAATGTATTAAAAATGCTTGTTCGGACTACTGTGAAAAATTCGGATTATTGAACGTTCGGATTATCGAGTCTGCACTGTATTCATTTTCTTCAGAATTGGCACAATTTATTACACAGCAAGTAATTCCCATAGCTGCTTTTATCTCGAATGTATAATTATGACATTTTATTTCAATTCTGACGTTTATAAAATGTATTCAAATTCAAACAATTTTGAATGACAAAGCGCGGGACGACTATGGTGCTCTTGTCACAATGCAAGGTGTGTAACTTAATAAATATAAACATTCAAAAACCCTAACCGTTGTCAATTCTGTGTCCGAACTGCTTATAGTGACTCGCTAGAGAGAAGTGAGAACTTTCCTCTCTCTCTCGTTCGAGGTAGAAAAGAGCAGCAACTAGCAACTCATCTGCATTGGAAATATCGTAAAGCACATTTTCAACCGTACGGACGTGTTTTTCATTCCAACATTTTGTCATGCGCATGAATCGAAGAAACCATCAAACTGTTGCAAAATTCCGCTGGAATGTTGATGGATATCCATCAAACTGTGTTGTAATAAAATGCGCACTTTTAAATCGCTTTTCGAGAATCTAACAGTTTGGAGGAGATTGACATGACAGTTGACACATTTTAGTATTGTTTTTTGATGGTTTTTTGTTTTGATTTGATAGAAAACGATTAATATTGAGGATTTTTGAGATTCTCGAGAGATTTTAGAAGAAAGAGTCAGTGTTAATCAATAAAATCGAATTAGTCTCTTCTGATTCTCATGATACATGATTACTGACACACAACAAAATCCGTGTTTCCATCAATGTGTTGTATGAACCATTGTTCAATCCTGCCAGCATAAATTCCAACAGAACAATTGGTGACGTCACGACAAAAAACCGCATCTATCAGTGCGCACTTTCTTCGATGGAATGAAAAACACATCTTTCCATAGTTCATTGTAATAATTGCGACAAAAAAACATGCAAACTTTCAAAAATAAAAATTAGAACTTATGCTACTTTCTCAAAGGAAAAGCGACCGGGAAGAAGGTACAGTCGTATTCAATAAAAAAGCGTACAAGTATTAAAAGGAGAGGATTTCGGGTTCCTAGTTCTAGTTGTGTAAAACTGGCTCAGCCTTTCGAGAACTTATGACAACTTTACGACTTTACATTCAACATCTGGTGAACAATCATTCCCGATAGCCCGTTTTATGCTAGTTTTATGCAGAATAGGATGACGTTAATTTCTCTCTGTAATATATTGTACTATTTTTTTTTAATGCGGCTGTACTTCTCAAACAGTTGGCGAAAAAAACTATTCTATTCAGTGCCGTAAATAGCCTTTCCTGCGCCCTGTGCGAGCTTCTATAACTGCGCCCTTATATATTGATTTAATTTCAAGTACTTGGTATGTTAAAGTTTTGAATAGAGAAGGTAGCATAATATAAATTGCATTTGAGTATGAATTGGTGAAAAAACATTTATTCGAAAATATTTGCAAGATTATTTACAACTACATAATACATAATACACAAATGATTGAGACCACAAATGAATGAGTTCAGATAGTGAAGATTCTTTCGAGCAAGCCATGAACATTTTCACAGATTTACTTTTCGCGCATTCTACATTGCGAAATCGTCGATAACTTTTTCATACGACAGGCAGCGCCCTATGCCGCGTTCAATCGACAAAATCGCTAGGCCGGTCAACCTTTCTTGGCCGATCGTAGAGCGCAAGTAAGTTTTTATTTTTTATTAGTTTGAGCTTACTGAATGATCTTTCGCAGGAAGCTACAGTCACTGGCATTGTTAAAAAAATCTTTATAGCGACTACTACATTGGGAAACATATCTTTCAAATCTAGTTCAACTATAGCTTTAAGAAGACCCAGACTTGTACTACGGTCACACTTATTAAATAATATAGTCGTTTCAGCTTGACTCTTTAAAGTGTCTAATTCAGCCCGAAATTCAGTATTATTAATATCTGCTGAATATTTGATACTCAAATCAGCGGCATGTTTTTTTAGTTCTTCAGCTGGATATTTAGCAATATTTTCTATTGTCAAAAAATTAAAAAGGTGGTGAATATTGTGAAGTTTCTCGAAACTCCATGTGAATTCAGAAATCATTTTATCAATTGCTTCATACATATTAATTTTGAACCTTTGCTGTCGGGTAATATCGTAGCCGGCGTCTGAGATTTCTCCAAGGTCTTATCTTTTCACTCGCTTTTTACGTTTTTCCGGAAAATAGTCCTCAATTTCACATTCTACACAAACTTTTTCTGCCTTTTCAAAAACGTTATCTATAGTCTCGCGAATATTCTGAATCTGCCTTATTAATCCTTTGATTAATTCAGAGGCTTTGTCAATAGCAATAGTTTTCGACTGTAAAGCTTCGTTCACCCTATCAACAGACTCTAAAACTTGATCCCAAATTTGCAGAGTACATATAAATTTATAGTTTATTAGACCCATAATGCTTTTAGCTGTAGCTACTGTTTCTGCATTCTAATCGTTGGTAGTTAAAATCTTCAGTGCACACCAGATTTGGGGCAGTTGCATATTTAAAGCTTTAACGGCTCTAGCTTCAGAAGCCCATCTAGTATCGGCATGTTTCTTTAAAGAAATTTTTAGATGTTTCATTAAGATTTCCCATCTGATGGTAGAACTAGAAAAAAAAACAGGAATATCTTCTGAATTGTTCCAAAAAATGTGATCATGTCGGGTGTTACACTAGCGGCATGTACGCCAGACAAATTCAAAGAATGTGCTGCACAAGGTAGGTATTCAGCATTTACATTGATTTGTTTAATTTTGGTTTGAACTCCGTTATATTTACCAGCCATGTTACTGCCATTATCGTACCCTTGGCCACGAACATCATCAATTTTCAATCCGTCAGCTTCTAATTTCGTTAAAATTTCTTTTGATTGAAAAATGAGCGCGGTGTTTTGTCTACTCTTGATGATACTGGCATGTAGGTAAGTATGTGTTGGAATCGAGCACTAGGGGCGCAGCAATAACCGGAACTCATCATGAGCAAACCGAAACAATGATAGTCCTGCCTGCTTTGGCCATTCTTTCTTGCGCCCCCCAGAGTCTACGCCCTGTGCCTGGGCACCGGTGGCACCGCCCTATTTACGGCACTGATTCTATTATAGATTATTATTCAATATTCAGTTGAAGGTAAAAATTTCATCAGCAGAATGCAGCTAAATTATTTTAGTAGGTAATTCGGAATATTCTCCGCCGTTGGGTAAGGTTCAGAGAGTTTTATGGAAAAAAGTAGAAGACGAATAAGACAAGTAACATAACCTTAACTTAACCTTGTCTGACTGAACTGATTTCAAAACAAACACACATGACACAACATGTATTTATTTCGTTGGAACTTAAATGATCTATCAAAGCCATTCCGAAAACGGAACTATAGTACCAATATAGGAAATATACTGGATATCTTCCAGAATGCAAAGCTAGGCCAAGAAATCAACATAAAGGTTTAAATGTACTGGAACTTAAAAAACAAGTATTCTAGAAACTGAATCTTTTTCTCTAGGGCTGGGTGAAATCCTTAAGGAAACAAAAAGAACGTGTCTTCTTAGATCTGAGTGATGGATCCACATGGAAGAAACTGCAAATAGTCTTGCCCCACAACAAATCCTGTGAAAAATTGACTACAGGTGCTTCTGTGAACATCAGTGGTATAGTCAAATCATCACCAAATGGCCAAATTGAATTGAATGCCACTGAATTAGAGGTCTATGGTGAATGTGTTATTGCAGATGGTTACCCTTTTGCTCCAAGAAAACAATACTCACAAGAATATATAAGGCAGTACCCACATTTGAGATTCAGAACCAACAACTTTGCTTCCTTAATTCGTACCAGGAGTGCAGCTACTTTAGCTATACACAATTATTTAGATTCTGAAGGATATATCAATGTACACACTCCCATCATTACCTCTAATGATTGTGAAGGAGCAGGGGAAGTTTTCAAAGTAATTCCTGAAAATAAGGAGCTTCTCAAATCCATGGTGAAAGAAGGGGAATCTCTGGAAGAGGCATTTTTTGAAACTAAAGCATTTTTGACTGTTTCTGGACAGTTGCAATTAGAATCTGCTGCACATGGTTTGAGCAAAGTCTATACCTTTGGTCCTACTTTCAGAGCAGAAAATTCTAGAAGTAGATTGCATTTATCTGAATTTTATATGTTAGAAGCAGAAGTGGCTTTTCTTGAAAACTTGGAGGATCTCATGGTAATCATTGAAAAATTGCTTAAAAATGTGACAAAAACTCTGCTAGATAAATGTGAAACTGACATTAATAATAATCAAGAAAACAAATCAAATTTCAAGTGGCTAGACCAAAAATTTCCTATAGTTACTTATGATGAAGCAATTGGCATTTTGAAAAGCAATCAGAACTACTTTGAAAGTGGGTATGAACCTGAGGAAGGAATTTCCAAAGAACATGAATTATTTCTTGTCAAATATTGTGGCAATGTCCCTTTATTCCTTGTAAATTGGCCAAAGGACATCAAACCATTTTATATGAAAGAGGATCCTATGGACAGTACAAAGGTTAGTACCTATTTGTTTTTGTAACAGAAACAAACAGCAAGAAAATCAAGAAACATCAATGATTTCTAGAAATACAGATTTGCCAAAGTAGCTTTTTCCAATGACAAGACCTTTAACTTGGTTTAACAAGTATTGTAGAGAACTGGGTCAAGAAATAAAACCTCAAAATATTTTCTAAATTTTCAACTTTGAGTACCTGTATCTTCAGGTGGTAGTGTTTGCCTCAACATTTTGGAGTAAGTGAATCTGAGGGTAAATCTTGATATTATGAGACAATGATTTTATAGTACTCCAGTGTATCTCTGGTTAAATGAAACACACTCATGAATTAATGATTCAATGTTGATCCCTATAATACTGTTTTTATGATGTATATTTTTAAATTTTGTTTTGAAAATTCGAATACTTCTCATGGTCATTTTCACATAAAAATTTTTCATAGAATAGGTACTTCAGCCTAGAATAATAATCTTATGCCTCCAAGCAGATGAAAACTACCACTTCCAATAGAAATTGAAAACTTACCTTGTCATAAGTTTTGGTACCCTAGTTTTCTCTTTGGCAATTGCAATTTTAACTTTTGATTCACCATCTACTGACATTTGATTGGAACAGATACAGGGGGTGATCAGAATTCTGAATCTTGAACCACCCTGTATTTGTTTCAATTAATTATGTGAGTAGATAGTGAATCAAATAATGAATAGTTTCCACACAAAAAAATTCTAAAGTTGAAAATTCTTGATTTTTGACACCTTATATCTCTGTAATCTTTCCCGTTAGATCCCAACATTTGAAAATTCAATAAAATACTGGGTGTTCCATTTAGGAAAGTTGATAATAGTTCCGGAATAACTGAAATTGATTAACCCTGTATATACTCACCAGTCAAGATTATGAGATTATGTAGGTAAATGGTAAATGCATCCATAATCGACATCGTTACTTCAATTTCACTACCGCACATTCATTTTCCAATGAACTGAAGAAAATTCATTTGTATATTTTTCAGTTGGACAAACTTCAACTCTTACTTCAAAAATCTCAAAACAATCGGAATTTGAAAACTCTTCTTCATTTGTTCCTCTTCTTTTTTTTTGTGGGATTAATATCTCTGCTCAGTTTCAAACCTTCTTTTGTGCTAACTGTGCTTCTAGCTTCTGTTCTGGACGATATAGGTTCCCATGATTTCGTCTTTAGGACCGACAAAAAGTTTTTCCAACTGATAAGCTCAACAAATTCAATTCATGATTTTCATAATGAAGGTATATGTATAGTTTATGCTAAGTCAGTTGAACAGATCATCAAACGAATGTCGAGCCGCGCTGCCGGCCGCGATTCTTGAAAATCGGGGAGTAGAACAATCGAGAGAAAGTGGGCGTGTCCACTGTCCGAAACTGAAAACCGTATTCTTGAACTGAATAACACAAGAGGAGCGCTCCCTAGGGAGTTACTAATGCATCTATCAAGATTTTTAAGAGAACCAAAACGGGAACGCTTCTGATTGGCTCACTCTGCTATTGAATTGAATAAAAATATGACAACTCTCTCAGTCTCATCAGTGATCAAAGGTTAGCTTTTTTAAATTTCCATATTTCGTAGGATTTCGATTGTGCTTTGGATTAAAAAAACATATGAATGAAGATATTCTGGATGTTGAACAACAAAATGACGTTGGTGTGGTTATACTTTCCAAACAAAACCCTTTCGAGTTGTCTGATCAGACATTTTTGTAAATGCATGTTACGTCTATCAAAATGTTTAGCTGATTAACATTGTGAATCCTCATATAGAAGCACCCACAAGAGCTTCTGCTCTCACTGTAGAGACTAAGGTAGGTATATGTCACATCAACTACCTATATATCTTCAGCTGGCGAGGTGTGATTTTCACCTCATGACCAATTTGAAAATGTTTCTCAAATGATAAATAATAACTTGGAAAAAATTATATTCATTCAACGTTCTCCTTCACCCTTCACCTTGTCTGTAGAATGTCAAAATGTCAGAAAATAATCGTATCTGATTGGTCGTCACCTATGGCAACACTTGGCAACACCGTCTATCGGGGAGCTATGATTTTGCTCCCTCCCTCTTGCTCAAGAATACGAACTTCTTGGTTTGATATGAAAGAGTAGTAACAAATCGGGGAGCGCTCCCCAGGGAACATTCTACTCTATCACCGTCAAGAATCGCGGCCCTGGTGGGGGTGTGGTGATCTCGTGTCAGTCATATCAATGTTGCCGGATTGTGTTAATTTTCTTCAACTTGAGGAAGAATTTCAAAAAGAAAATAGCATTTTCATTGATACACATGGAAGTGAAAAGAGACTATTCTTTAAGACAATAAAATCTTAATCGGTCAAAAGAAACCTCTATTCTAGAAAATAACGGTGTCAAAACTTTTTCTCAACAGTAAATGCCTCTACAGTACTTTTTTCAGGGAGGAAGGAAAATATCCCTCCTGCATAAACAAAGGACCCTACATTTTTTAAACCATCTAACCTTACTCGGCCTTAATAAACCTTCTTCCTAAAAAGACACTTTTCTCAGAGCGGAAGGAAAATCCCCCCCTGCAAAAAAAGAACTCTTCTTTTTAACCATCTGACCTTAATCGGCCTAACTGAACCTTCTTTCAAAACATCATATCTTTCGTAAAATCACTTGAGAAAAGAGAATAAAAAAAAGCCGGCAGTCGCAGGCATCGAACCTGGGTCGCCGAAGTGGGATTCAAACGTATCAAAGTCGTTTATTTCCATTATCCTATCAGTTTACAACACAAATTTACAATCACGCCGTATATATCATGATCTGGAGCATCATATAGTGCCCCTAGATGTACCTCCGCGTGGCGCAGAGGTGGCTTGTGTTGGCCAAGGGATGTGAGAGGATTTGTGGAGTGTTCGTCGCAGAGACCGATCTCCTAGGGCTAGGCCCTTTATAAAGGTAATCTCACTGTGGGTACCCAGTGGGGCGGGGGAGTTGCTCATACGTGATCAGTGCAGGGAGTGTTTCCGGTTTTTGGAGGAAAAATAAAAGGAAAAAACAAAAAACCTCCTTCTAGTTAGGCTCGGACAGCTGGGCCTCCACGTTTCCGTGTTTGTACATCTGTCCGAGTTCAGTGCAGTGTTTGCTGGTGAGCAGTGGCACTATTTTATTTGGATTCAAACGCACAGTCAACTACGCCACTAGTCGTAGTTACTGTGGTAGTATGAAGAAATAATTTAGTCGCTGTACCCGCACTTGTCGCGCTGATTATACAGGGTGTCCGCTAAAAGGAGGTCAATCCATTAACCATATATTCCTTGAACAAAAATAATATGAGTTTCTAAATACCATTTTTCATTTTAGTCCTTCATATTCGATATACAGGGTGTCAAAGTTGGAAATTAAAAACTGTTTTTTTTTCTAATTACTCGCGTATTTAATAAGATATTAATCTCAAAATTGGTACGTTACTTCAGCACAAAGAGTTACATCGTGTGAGGAAAACAAAACAGAAAATAGCTGTCGAATATTCAAAATACTGGGGGTCAAGTACACACTTACTCCCATATTTTTTTTGTACGTGCGCTAATGACCTCCTTTCTATTTTTCTCCAAGTGTTCAATCATTTTTGAGTATTTTTTGTGTCTTGTATAATTTCGATAAAATTATTTGTTTTTAAGATAATTCGAAAAGTCCTGGTTATTGTTTGATGCCTATGCGGCTTACGGTAATCTCCGAGGTAATCTCATAATGTTCACATACTCCTATTTATTTCGTCGAAATTGGAAGAGGGCGTATCTTTTTACGTACGAAAAGGTAAATATGGAAATACCGGGTGCTCAGAGCGAATGTATTAAAATAATTTTTACAAAAAAAAATGATAGAAATTCAACACATCTAAATGAATTGCTCGATAATCGATATGACCTCCAATTTTTTGAATACATATGCGAGCCCTTTTAATTAAAGAGAATCTTAGCCTTTGAAAAATATATGGCTTATACACAAAATCTTTCATACATCCCCAGACAATCTTGATCTGCTATTTCTTTCATCAAGTAGCTATTAAAATCATGGATATCATAATTTCACTAAAAATTTCCGAAAATAGTTTTGTAAAATTTTTTTCGATTTTATTTCCCGTTCGTTCGCGCCCGAAAATATTTTTAAAAAATTCCGCACCCCCCAGAACCGATATTAAAAAATTTTCAAAAAATTTGCTGTTCTCGAAAAAATCAATTTAATAATTCTTTAAAAGGGTGGGCTCGTCAATCGACCCCCCCTCCTAGAATCATCATTTACCCGAAATTCCAAAAAATGTTTTTTTTTTATTTGACCCCGTAAAAAATAATTTCACGCCGTTCGATTGGCAAAACAATTTTATTCGACATGTGTCCTCACTTTTTTCATATTTTTTTTGTAAAAATTATTTCAATATATTCGCTCTGAGCACCCGGTATTTCTATATTTACCTTTTCGTATGTAAAAAGTTACGCCCTCTTCCAATTTCGACGAAAAAAATAGGAGTATGTGAACATTATGAGATTAACGTAAGCCGGATAGGCATCAAACAATAACCAGTACTTTTCGAATTATCTTAAAAACAAATTATTTTATCGAAATTTCACAGGAAACGAAAAATACTAAAAAATGATTGAATACTTGAAGAAAAATAGATAGGAAGTCATAAGCGCACGTACAAAAAAAATATGGGGGTAAGTGTGTACTTGACCCCCAGTATTTTGAATATTTGACAGTTATTTTCTGTTTTGTTTTCCTCACACGATGTAACTCTTTGTGCTGAAGTAATGTACCAATTTTGAGATAAATATCTTATCAAATATGCGAGTAATTAGAAAAAAACAATTTTTAATTTCCAACTTTGACACCCTGTATATCGAATATGAAGGGCTGAAATGAAAAATTGTATTTAGAAACTCATATTGTTTTTGTTCAAGGAATATGTGGTTGATGGATTGACCTCCTTTTAGCGGACACCCTGTATATTTGTTAGTTAGACGCAGAGATCAGAGATAAGTTACCCGGGTAACTTATCTCTGACGTTAGTATTCGGATTCGAACGAAGAAGCGATAACCCCCCACCATTCTAAAATTTATGGCAAGTATACTCCCTACGAGTCCCCAGACGTTACTTTTCTGCGTACCTAATACTACATAATGATGATTATATCTTCTGACAAAAATTTTTTTTTTTTTTTCAAACAATTTGTGATTCTGTAAGCAACCTAATGGAAAAGCTTCTTGTCTACGCTATGGTATTGATGTTTCATTATTGTTTTCAGGTACTAGCCTTAGATTTGTTGGTCCCAGGAATAGGAGAAATAATCGGAGGTAGCCTGCGAGAGAATGACTGTGAAAAAATAAAACGATCCCATCCGCATATCACCTCCCAATTAGATTGGTACTTAGAACTAAGAAAATTTGGCAGCGTTCCCACAGGAGGTTTTGGCTTAGGATTTGAAAGATATTTGTTATTTTTAACAGGAACTCAAAATATAAAAGATGTGATTCCTTTTCCCAGATGGCCACATAATTGTAACATGTGAATAAATAAATTGTAGATAATATATGGAATCCTTAAACCAGGTAAACTCAGGGTATGTACACTCGTCTTCAGTGAACATGTCGCGGTTGGACGTATGAGCGCTTTTATTGCAGTGGTGATTAAGAGAGCTGACACCGTCCATGTGCGATATGTTCTCTGAAGACGACTGTACATACATACTTCCCACCATACCAATATGGCAAACCAACGACCAACTATGCGGGCTGGTTGGCACACAATTGTTTTATACACGAATTTCTGTCCATATCAGAACAACTTTTATTGTAACACAAAAAATCTTGGGTCCTTCCTCTTTCAAACTAATTTCAATTGACAATACATCATTTATAAAATCAATAAAATGATGTTACTTTTTGTGATTTTCTTTGATTATAATATGACTTGTACTTCTGATACCAATAGGAATTCACATATAAGAGTAGATTGTTTGTTTTTTTTTTATCCGAATGAAACATGCTATTTTTTCTGCAACCGAAAGGATGAACTAAAATGAATATGTGAAGTGACTACTAATGTGACTTATTACTTGACAGATTAGTATACCTAATACCTTTATTATAACAATATAGGTACGTATAGATGGAAACAAGACCTCGGACTAATTTACATTCACTTATTTGTTACAATTTGTGTTTAAATACAGGCACGAATTCAATACTATACCCGAAACCTGGAGTGTCATATGAATGCAATAAAACAAATAATCCGTGTGGTGAGAATATTCTACCTGCATTTGCAGATCAGGTTTATTCAATATTTAAGGATGTTCGAATTTTGTGTATTCTATTGAATCGATGAATTCATTTGGACCAGGTGTCTGCCCTAATAGCAAATACCGCGCCAGAGTCAGGTATAGGAAAGAGAAGTGGAAAATGTTAGGTTAGTGAGCATATCAACAATTATAATGGCAATTACTTATTTCCCTCCATATTCCATTGTGTTTGGTTCGGTAATCGAATTAAGGTAAACAATATCGTGTGAGATAAAAAAGTATTTCTAGCCATGATTATTCAAGAATAATTCATTCAATCCATCAGATCCCGAGAATAGATGAAATACAGATATCAAGCAAGTATGTGAATCTTGACGGCTTTCCTGATCAAAACAAAAATACTTTACCATAATATGGTGTATTTATATCTCCAGCATGGGTACGAAATGCGAAATGCCAAACCCAAATAACCAACCATATATAACAATGTTGTTTATTCTTGATGATTTCTAGTACATCCTTTTTAGTTCCTATGAGCCAAAAGTTCAACTTTAGCTCCTATTAGGAACTAAAAGTGTTGCCTAACAACATATCAGTTTGTGTCAGTAATAGAAACTTTAATTGAAGAGCTAATTTTGGTATTAAAATGGACGACTTTTGTGTCGGTTGCAGAAAAAAAAAAGATTTATGACACAAATGATTTCATTGTGTGCCTACCAGCGCATAGTTTGACAAGTTATTGGATTGCCAAATTCATTCAACATTTGACTTTTCAATAAAAATATATATAGGGTGTCCCATAAGTCATGGATGAAAAGAAGTGGGGTGGTAGAGGGGTCATTTGCAATCAAACTAAACCGTATAACGTGGTAGAGCAGTTTTAATCTCCTCCTGAAGATGTTAACATAGTTAGCCAAACACGTGTCGAGACGTTTAAAAAATCGGTTTGGTCAGAAAACAGTGCAGTGTAATGTTTTCAATATCATATTCAGAAAGCTAGGTACACATTTTTGACTCACCCTGTATATCACTGCTACTAAAAATCGAACTTTTGATGATCCAGCTTTCCAATAATGAGGAGTAACAAGTCATAGGGTTGGATTTGAATAAAACATGTTGGGGCTGATTTCAGCTACTCCTGAAGGGTTATATTCTTCATATTGCTTGCAAAAAATCATTGAAGTCTCCACCCTGTATAAGTACACAAGAATTACTCAAGTCAAGTAGATAGGTACTTTTTTGCGACCGAATTACATTGGAAATATGTATGCATAAAAAACTATTGAAGTAAAATTTTAATCATCTATATTGATCCGACATACATATAGGGAGTTTTGAGAATGTATTGAATCATTTTGACAATAAAAATGTTACTTTAATTAATATTTAATATTTATTTTACCCTACCCTAATAAGTGAATAGGTACTCCAATATAACTAACTACCCACAATATCTGTTAAAAATCAGGATTCAAAAATGGCACAATTTTAATGAAGAAAAATTAGTACACATGAGCATAATCTACAGACCTACAAAACTGAACTGCTGTTTAAAAATCAGATGAGAAACAATAATATTACATCTATACAGTATGGTATACATATTTTGAGTACCTACTGTTGATAACAAAATCGGTATAGAAATTGTTCAGTGATGATAGTATTTCATCCAGTTCTAATGATTCCTTGATTATAGGTCACTCAAACTTGATCACCCTGTAAAAATACACAGTGTGTCCCAGCTGAAAGTTGACTCTCCCTAATCTTCATAAACGAAAGAAAAACTGAAAACCGCTTAGTCCCTTAGTATATGTATCTTTCAGGAGGAAGCACACGTCATCTCAGAAATGAAGTGGAAGAAGGAGTAAATATGAGTTTGTGAGAAAAATAGGTTTTAGTGAAGTAAGCTGGCATTTTTTAATGAAAGCTAGTTTAATAATTTGATTTATGCAATTGTGAGGAATAGTTTAAGGTTGTTTTTTTATGATTTACCGCATTTTGCTGTCATATCATTTTTTGATATACATATGATTCATGCGTACATAACCCCTTCTTCCAATTCCTGACATGTAGATAATGGACACATATAGCTCCTTCCATTGCGTTCTTGATGTTTAGTGTAACATATAGCCCCTTCTGCCACTGTGTATCTAATCAGATATGAAGAATAGAAACAAATCCTGACAGGGCAAGTTATATATTATAATATTTTCAGAAAATGTTACTTGAGCCCTTCTTCCACTTGCCCAGTTGCCCCTTCAATTATGACTCCTCAACTTATACTTTTTATTCGTTTTTTGTTCCGTTAATCTAAACTGGGCGTCAATTGAAACGGTAATAGTGAAATTTGGCATCAAGTTTGACTTCTCGTAATTTCTAAAATATTGAACGAATTTTGAATTGCCGCCCAGATTATGAATGCCTTTTTCATCGTCTTTCGAACCGTTCCTTACAGCTTCTTCTAAATTGATCAGGACCCGTGATACAGGATGAAAGAAAGTTTCGTGCATTTTGACAAAAATTTCTCCGCCCCCCCAGTTTGTCAGAAGACCACGATGCTCATATTTTATTCGGGCATTTCATAAATAGCAACCATACCTCGGGACGTTTTCGAGTTTCTGCCAAAAACTACTGTGGTTTCCGGAAAAAAATTTTTTTTTTGCATTTTTTTCAAATGGACTAATTTTAGAGAAGTTCCATATATGGATGCTTTTATGCATTTCAGGAAATCGTTGGAGCAGATTTGTATACCAGGTTACTCAAAAACAATCAATAATATATTACTTCGCAGTCTATGATAAAAGTTTTCTACCTTAGTGAGCAGTAAATCAACACATCTCATCACCAAATACAAACAACGATACCTTGTTTCTATAACAGCGTATTGTTGAAACAATGTAGGTATGCATAGAGGTTATATCAATTGCCAATAATTTTCATGAAAACGTCAGTGTAATTCGGGTCCTAAAAAATTTAAAGATGCCTCGTTCAAATCGGGTCGAAATGGAAAATATCATTAGGTAAGATCACTATAGTGATATAAACTATAATTCAGTACAGATAATTATTATTTCAGGTTACGACGATTAGGATATACCCAAACTCATTTAAGTACCATTTTCAATAAGTCAGTCATGACAATAAAGAGACTGATTCATCGTTTTGAGGATACAGGTAATTAGTCCATTAAAAAAAATGCTAAAAAAATTTTTTTCTCGGAAACCACAGTAGTCATTGGCAAAAACTTGAAAATGTCCCGAGGTATGGTTGCTATTTATGAAATGCCTGAATAAAATATGAGCATCGTGGTCTTCCGGCAAAATGGGGGGGCGGAGAATTTTTTTTCAAAATGCACGTAACTTTGTTTCACCCTGTATCATGGATCCTGATTAATTTAGAAGGTGTAAGGAACGGTTCGAAATACGATGAAAAAGGCATTCAGAATCTGGGCGGCAATTCAAAATTCGTTCAATATTTTAGAAATTACGAGAAGTCAAACTTGATGCCAAATTTCACTATTAACGTTTCAATTGACGCCCAGTTTAGTTGATAGAATTCTTGTATCTGCTATAAATTTTCTTCAAAACAAAAATTGCGGGTCTGAGCGGTTTTAAAGTGTGTACAAGAAAAGTGGGGGGTGACTATGGTTTAAGCTGGAACACAGTGTATATACATCCGTATGATTTATGCAACAAAAAACGAATATTACTTGCTAAACATTTCAAATTATCTTATTCAATTATCGCAATAGCATTAACAATAACTAGGTTCAGTGATCCACCTTGCACTCATGATTATTATGACATACAGGGATGATCCAGATTTTCTACATTGATGAGTGGTGGCTTGTCTAAACGAACATAACTCTAAAATTCCATATCTAGAGTAATACAAAAATGATCATTTTCAAATTTAGTTCAATATTTCTATGTAAACTCACATCTACGGTGGAAGTCAAAAAATAATAGCCATTTCCTGTGGGAAAAAGTAAGTTATGAAGTGACATTTTGTAATCAGTAGAAAACAGAAAAAACATATTATGTAGTTAGATTTTCGATATGCTGTTGAATTCTTCAGTGCACATGCATATTAATATAATTAACTGGCCTTCAAACGGATTCAAAAATACGTTTTATTGATTTTCAATACAGAATCAACAGTGGATTCGTATCGTGAAGTTTATTACTAATTTTTTATAAAATATCAATCAATATTCATTTATTATTTAGCAAGTACACAAAATACTTCAACTGTAAAAGAATCGAATCGGGTCATTCACATTTCACTTTGGAAAAAGTCAGTTTGAAAAACGAAAGGTCAAAGTTGTTGTTTTTGCTCGTATTTTCATAATCAACGAATCAACAGTATCTGATCTGATAGAAATACAATAATTTCGATACAGTGGCGTCGATTTCATTCACATCTAACAAATGCCACCTTTGCAGCCAATTTCACAATATCATTATGGAATGTCTAACGCTTGAAAATATGGTCAATTTACTTTGCAGATGCAAACTCAGGATATATTCCGAATTCAACAGTAGGTAATGAATCAGCTGATTTTTCCATTTTGAAATCAACAAAATTTATTGAATGTGGCAGAGATCTCGAAAGTTAACATATGAACTATCCATTCTGAATATCCACATTACTAAATGTTGATGGTGTAGCATTAATTATCTAGCCGTTATTTTTAAATAGATGGATCAGCACTTCCTATGCGATTTCTGGGAGTACCTAACTGACCACAAAAAGGTGGAAATATTTAAGGAAATTAATAGGTACCTATACACTGTTGATAGCGACAGTTATAAATTAATTTAGTATTTTGTATTATCATTAATTGCAATGGAGGGTAGTCGATCGATTTCATTGATTTCATTTTGAGAAGTTATTCAATGCTCGATTTTTTCGTTTGTGTTGTGTATTGCAATATCCTTTTGTCATGTTGATATAAATCATAGCTTGATCGATTTTTATCGACCAAGACTCCGTTCCACTTTTCGTCTTCACACTCAATAGACCAGGACAATCATAATGCAGGGGCGGATCCAGGGGGGAGCCATTGGAGTCATGCCCCCCCCCCCCCTCACGAACTCATGAATATGTAAAAATGTAGGTATTTTGGATACCAGAAAAATCTGTGTATGTCCTAATAGCCATCCATCTGTGTACCCGCAACCCATATTAGTTATCGAATAATTTAAGAGAAATATTTTTTCTCCATTTTTTAACTAATATCAAGCGTTTATCAATGAGATGTTCATACAGGTTGACTCTTAAAAAAACTTCAAACCATAGCGCTGCTATTAATGATCATAGAAAACAAAAAAGCAAATGTAATAACTCATCATAATTTATGAGTAGGCTCTGATGATATTTTCCTCAAACTCCAATAACAGTAACTTCAGCCACTGTCAAACTCTTTCAAATGGTGTCATGCACATAAACAAAATCAGTTGAAAAGAAAAATAAATACGTGATGCATCTTTAAATGTGACAGTGAATATCACTGAAATGACTATCCTTGTTTTATTTGTCAGGTATTTCAACACCACATGTGATTTCAAACTTTGCTGTGGAAAAAATCAAAATATCTGAAGAATGGAACATTAACGTTCATTTTATTGCTCCTTCCTCAAACATCGCCTGGGTCCGCCCCTGTCATAATGAATACTAATTTTTTTCTAACGTTTTGCTGTTTTAATATCAACCTTGAGGGTCTTGGTTGTATGTGTGCTGTTTTTGTTTCTTGTCATAACTCCATATTACAGTAACAGCGATGTTTTATGTTTTTAATTAAGTACCCAAGGCCGGCCCAATATGATATACACACTGCGCATACTCGTCATCCAACTAACCGGCCACGTGTCCGTGTTATCCGCGAGCTCATTTTACCGTAAAACTGAGAACTAGCATTGTGAATGAATATGGTGCCAAGTGAAACAGCGAAATTTGCATTAGAATAGGCGTGTACATTTTAATTCAATCGATGAATATCATGCGCATGAAACATAAATTCATCAAGTTGTATTTTAATTCACCAATCCGAACATCGCTTAAACAGCCGAGTTCTCAAATTCAGCGGATAATTCAATCGAATATTCAACTGATACATCAGCATGAAGGACTGATTTATTGATGGATCCAAAAAAGAAATATGTCAAATGGTAAAATCACTGAAAACTGTGAGGTTATTTGATTACGCCGGTTTACAGTATTTTCCAACTAGAGTATAATGATGTGACTTACGTGAAAGTTGGCATGAAATAAAAATAAGAATTAGAACACCAACGTTTTTTATACCTTATTACTATCATAACTTCGATAATTACAAAGTAATTCGTGTTCGAAATGCTTTTCTTTTTAGAGTTTTGCTAATCCTCAATGATGCTGCCAGTAGTCATTCATTTTTGTTCACATCAAATCGTTCCTATTTTCAGTAGTCTGTGACGCCAGGAGACATACATCAGTAATAAGCACATGAAATTCATCATGTGCGCCTTCACTGACTTTCTCAAATATATCTATAGTGACGCCTAGACTCACTAGATATTAGTTAGATAAGAGTTTGGACACAGCTGAACTTTTGTCCATTTCTATTATATTACAATGGCTTGAGTGAATAAAATAATGAGACAAATATTCTGCTCTTTGTACTTCTTTTTCTGTTGACTTTATTGGTTTTCTGACTCCTTGCGGTGCCAATTCCACCAGATCGGGTATAGGTTATATTTACTTTATATTAAGGATTAGGAAGGTGATTAACATCCTTCTGTTAAAGTATGGATGAGTTTTATATCATTCAAGCTGCTCTTTGTATTTTCAATTTCTCTAGTCGCGCCTGATTGTCAGATACGATTGGAAAATAGAAATAGGGTATAAACACCCACTTCAATTTAAAGTGATACATGTTTCGCAGAACAGAAATTCAATGATATATCACGTTGCAATTTTCTTGATTTCCTCAGTTTCGTTCTCAAATTTTCAATGTCTTTACGTAGTTTTGCAATCAATTCCAGTTTCTCAATGATAGCTTTTTCTGCATCCCGTGTGATGATATTGTATTATTTTGTAATAATCTGTTTTGTGAATGAATGGATCCGCAGATTCTCTCTAAGGGATCTTAAAATCTTCTGTTTGAAAATATGAGAAGGGCATTTTGATGTATTTACTGTAATTTTCCATCCAGGCAGTATCATACATTTCTCCTATAAAGGAATAATGGTTGATATTTCTTTTGGAAAATTAAATAAATGAAATCCATTCTCTTCCGAATTCACACAATTCATTACACAGCAGGATATTTCCATATATGCTTTTCGCGGAACGACTATGGTGCTCTTGTCACAATGCAAGGTGTGTAACTTTATAAATCTAAACATTCAAAACCACTTACAGACTACAGTTGTCATTTCTGTGTCCGAACTCTTATCTACCTAATACCATCCAGTGACTCTAGTGACGCCTAGTTATTTCTTGAGAACGGATGTTGTCACGAGTAGAACATTCGGTATATTACTAATTTTGGAACCATACGGCTTTTATAAACATCAAGATAATCGAATCATCCGTTGACATTCAACTATGAATACTGACCAAGGAACTCTCATGAGAAAAGTGAAAATATTGGATGTGAGGGTTCCAGAGTTAGTCTGGTCACAGGTCTGGTCTGGGGCTACTCTTGACTTGACAAGAGCTCGTCAATATGGTCATTCTAATGTAAGTTGTTATTGTTATCCTTCATTCATATTTATCATCACTACCCATAATGATTCATGCTTCAATAAATATTGTTATGTTTGAATATAGTCTCGTACTTTTAGCTACCCCTTAACTATTAGTGCCTATTTTAATACTACCTCTTGTCAATAATTAAGCCAAGCAATCACCTTACTAACTGATATAAAACAGCCCATGTGGTGACATGGGGAAACACCTATATGGTCGTGACATGGTGGAGGCGCCTATGCATTTCTGTAAACTATTTTTGACTTGTACTGTAGACGGGGGTATACATGAAAAAAAATTTACCGAATATGAGAAGCATCTTATTTATTTCCTTAGATATAAAATAATAGCATGAAAATAATCATTGAAAAAAGTTTTCTCATTTGGCTAGTATCTATCACCTCTAGAAATGAATTTATGAACAAAAATCTGGATCAGCCTGTATAGGTATCTAAACTATCAAAATATTATCAATGAAATTTAAATCCTTTAAGGTGTTTCAAGCCCACGCATCAAAATACTGAAATCAATTTTTAATTGAATAAAAACACTAGAAAATAAAGTTTTGAAAATATTGTTCAGTGAATAAAGAATATCAACGAATTTTACATAATATATGGAAACTAACAGAAAATATCACCATTGGACATAAAAACCAGTTATCTATCTGTCATAGCCAACTTAAAAGAATGAATGAATTCAAACGTGAATTATCCACTTCAATTGAACAGCAGTTTATATGCCTTCAAACTAATTACATCAAAATACTTGAATACGAGCTAATATACAGTTAAAATTATGCAAAAGAAATGGAAACTCAAATATCTCAGGAACATGTACAGGTTGGTTACATAGTATGGTAAATTTGAAAATGGCATAGCCTTTTTTAACTTGTTTCAGACAGGACACAGAGTAAATTAATCCTTATTTGGTCTTGACGATCGTCACTACAAATAAAACTTTCCTGGATTCAATAAAGATACTTCAAGTGTTAGAAGATGATAATTTGGTCAAAAATGTTTCAATAAGTTCAATAAGTGTAATAACCTTTGTAGCTGTTAGACATACTCCCATTAATTCTTAATGGTACTCTCTGACCAAATATGAGATGAAGTTACTCCGACAAAATATAGCTGCCATTTTCGTATCAAATATCCTGTAATTTTGCTTTACTTGATATTTGATAGAGTTCATACTTTTCACTAACCCCTGTATCTAGTCACGAAAGCTTCACCAAGTTGCAGCAGTAGGTACTAGTCATCGGATTCCAGAACCACATCACTGAAAGTCACTTTCTTTTTCTTCCTATCCGGACTACTGGCATCTTCAGGACTGTCATTACATTTACGTTTTTTACACTCTGTACTTACGTCATCATCAATACTAGTGTCTTCAGAAATTTTTGAGTTGCTGTTTTCGACAGATTTTGTATTGCTCTCTTTGTTCCCCAAGTCTGAATCATTCTGCATAACCTGATTGTCACCATTTAGATCATTATCTTTCTCTTCACTGTTATCTTTATCTTCATCATCCAACACATTGTCTTCTACATTTTCCTTATTTCTACTACTTTCATCAGTTTCATCTTCTTGGTGACTTTTAATATTTTCTGAATCCTCAATGATAATGATATCAGATGATTCGTCATCTTTATTACCTTCTAGTTCTCCTTCTGGACCCGTTTTGTCGTCTGTAGTTTGATCTCCCTCTGTCTTCAATCCGGATTCTTCTTCTGGAAAATTTCTAGATGAATGATCGTCCGATTTATTTTCATCACCATCTGTATTTTGTGCAGGGGCAGTTACTTCCTTCATGCCATCATTTTTTGTGGATTCATTTTCAACATCACAATTCTCAATGTTTTCACTATAAACTTCATTTTCTTTGTCAGTATTGCTTGTTGTTTCAGTACAATCTTTGCTTTCTTCTTCAACTATGATTGTTATTTCATCATCATCTTCTTCAGTATTGCATGTTTTGTCGATATTGGTTCCTTCAGAAACTGCTTCCTCGCTTGTAATTTCTTTTTGTGACTCATCATTCACAATCCCAAGGCCCCCTTCACATTCTTCTTCATCATTATCTTTTGAAGATGCTTCAGCAGCTTCATCAAAGTTGGTATCTGTCACCATATCACTAGAATTGAGTATTCCGTCTTTTTGTCCATTTTCTTTGCATATTGACTCATCTTCATTTTCTGGAGAACCATCACATTGTTTCTCTTCTAATTTCTCACTACTATCATCTTGCTTCTTCTCACTATCAGCGTTATCAGCCTCCAAAAAAAGGATTTCCATTGAAGTTTCAATATTACTTTTTTCTTCAGACTCGATTTGCTCTACGCGCACTATGTCATCCTCTTCTGATTGGTGTTCTTCATTCAAGGATTCTTTAGCTTCCTTTAGTACAACATGCCTTTCAATATTGATTATTAATTTCTTGTCAAAATTTGTTGCGGTCAAATTCTTATACTTTTTCTTATGATCAATACGTTGTTTCTTGGTCCGTTTACTGAGTTTCGAGTTTTTCTTTAATTTGATCTTGAAAAATGAAGTACTTCTTGATTCAGGTGATCCTGTACTAGAATCACTATTGGGTGAATTTCTTATGATTCTAGAATATTTCTTAGGCGTACTAATAGTCTCATTTTCTACCAAACTAGTACATTCAGGCTTGTTTTCCATAATGGCAGATGTACTTTTTTCAATGGATCGTTTAGTTCGTCTTGCAATATTTCGACTTGTAGTCAATTTAGGGCTTACCGACTCATCTGGATTGATTTTAGGGTTGTTTTGATCCCTACCATCAATAAGGTTCATTGATATAAAATCATCCTTATTCACTTTGATGAAAAGTATTTGGTTCAAAAATTTTGAATCTCCACTGATCAATCTAGAATTTTTGAAAAGTTTTTCATATTTCAGAGCCTTGAATCCTTTCAAAGGAGACAAATCAAGTTTAAATGCCTCACTATCTGATGATGAGTCATTTATTTCAATTGGTTCCTCATTCGCCATTTTTAGGTGCGTTTTTTTTGTGCTGATAGGAGTTGAATGTTCTCTCAATTTTAATTTTAGTTTTGGGACTTCTTTCAGCTGAGGCTGTAATGCAAATCAAAATTTCAGTAATATGCAGAAATTTTAATAACAAAATAGATACGGTACGAAAAAATAACTGATTCCCTGATGAAAAATACTGTTGTATTCAATTTAAAACTCAGATTTGAATACATGCCCCCATTCAATGTAACATAGGTAAATACATACAATGTATGTATGGGGTAGAGAACAAGAAGTTTCAGTCAGAATTTCAAAATTGAAGATGGTGCCCTCCGAGATGACGAACGATTTTTTGTTCGTCCGATTCCACTGGAATTGAGGAACTGGAATTTTCAGTAAACCTTAAAAAAATCCCACATAGCATCTCGTAAGATGACTGAAGAAATTTGAAGACCCGATTTCGAATCCGAAGAGATTCTCAACCAATATTGGCTAGTGATATAACTACGCCACTGGATTCTACGAGAAAAACTCTAGAAGAACGGGTTTTAACTTCTTCGATAAGTTCAAAGATAACTGAGACACGGGGGTGCCTGAAAAGTGATATATTTCAATTCTACCCTGTATCTCGACAACCGGAAGAGCTATCACAATTCTGCTTGCGCCATTATTAATTTCATAAAAAAGTAGCACACTGTCGCGAAAACCGCAATGCTCTATCTTTACTGATAAGGGAGATACCCCGCAAAAGTGCCCAAATTGGGATACCCTGTACATAGGCCTTTTTGAGGATACTTGGAAGATTTATTGCTCGTAAAGGTCGATGCTCTCAAATATTCAGTGATTGTGGTACTAACTTCATTGTTGCCAGTAAATATACTCTTTATCTAATGAAGGGTGCGATATAAACAGAGAATATAACTATCACCCTTGATTATATACACTAGTCCATCACTCAAAATCTTGCTTCCGCCCCTTACTTCGGGAGGTTGTGGTAGCAAGTATCAAACCGGTCAAGTCACGGTTTTTTTTATCGCTTGGTGCGCAGGAAGAACATCGTGCGTATCCAGGGAGGATAGGGAAAGGAGGTAGGTTTTGGAATTTTTGTAAACTTTCGGAGATTATAAGTTCTTGTGAATACGTGGAAATACTTCTAGCATGTAGTTGGTGATCAGATTTTTACATACCTACGAGGAATTATGAGTATCTTAATACTCTGATGCGAGGGGTTAACCACAGAGGAACTTCCCGTACACTTCGTGGGAAATAACGAGGAAATGGAGGAATTTCGAGAAAAGGAGGAGATTTTGAGGCATTTCAGAGAAACTGGGGACCTTACCTCAGTGGGCAAGACGCCTTTATCGCTCGTTCGCTGTCTAATCTAGTATGCTGTCTATTTATTAGTGTCCGAAATGACGACAGTTCGAACCCGTCAGGCGAATGAATTTTTTGGTTGAAGACGGGGGTCATGATATAAATCCTGTCCGCTTATCGGCTTCCTTAGAAGTAGTTCGGTTTCAGCTTCAAAGTGTAGGTCCCGTTCTACTTAGCCCGTACAAGTTTCGATCTCTGGGGAGGTTGATAGTTTCCCGCTTTGAAGTAGAGGTATAAAAAATTTACGAATTCCCAGGGGTTCGAAATTCAATAGACATAGAATTTTTCTCCTGTCTCGGTTACGGTGTTAGTGGTCGAACTCCTCCGAAACGGCTCGACCGATTCGTATGAAATTTTTTGTGCGTATTCGGTACGTATGAGAATCGGTCGTAATCTATTTTTTCAATCGAAAATTCAAGATGACGGATCCAATATGGCGGACGAGTATTGTTATCCGATTTCATTCAAAATTGGTATTTGGGGGTTTTCGGGGTCGGAGATTATGATTCTTTTATCAAATTTTGGAAATTCAAGATGGTGGATCCAATATGGCGGACAAGTTTTGTAATTATGGTCAGATTCCATTCAAAATATGTATCTGGAGGTTTTTTGGGGTCGGAGATTATGATTCTTCAGTAAAAATTTGAGAGTTCAAGATGGCAGATCCAATATGGCGGACGAGTTTTGTAATTATTATCTGATTCTATTCAAAATTGGTATCTGGGGGTTTCCGGGGTCGGAGATTGTAATTCTTTCATCAAAATTTGGAAATCCAAGATGGCAGATCCAATATGGTGGACGAGTTCTGTAGCTATGATCCGATTCCATTCAAAATTTGTATCTGGAGGATTTTGGGGTCGGAGATTATGATTCTTTCGTCAAGTTTTGGAAATTCAAGATATCGGATCCAATATGGCGGACGAGTTTTGTAATTATGGTCAGATTCCATTCAAAATATGTATCTGATGGAGATTTTTGGGGTCGGAGATTATGATTCTTCCGTAAAAATTAGGAAATGGAAGATGGAGGATCCAATATGGCGGACGAGTTTTGTAATTATGATCCGATTATATTCAAAATTTGTATCTGGGGGTTTTCGGGGTCGGAGATGATGATTTTATTCTTTAGAATTAGGAAATTCGAGATGGCGGATCCAATATGGCGAAAGAGCTTTGTAATAAATAATAGTTTGAAGAACTATAATTGAACACGCTTTTATGGATCGCCAAACTAAAAAGAAGTAGAAAACAATAGTAAAAATATTTTCTAGAAATGAATGTATAGGTATAGCAAAACAACGTTTGCCGGGTATCAGCTATTGGAATAAATAGTAGTTCGAAAAACTAATGAAACACATTTTTATATAAAGAATTTTATGGATAGCCCAACTAAAAAAAAGTAGAAATAAAAATATTAAAAGTTTATTGATTAATATTCATCTGAAATTTTTTTTCTAGAAATAATTTGTATGGCAAGACAACGTTTGCCGGGTCAGCTAGTATAATAATAATAAATCGTCTTTCTATGGGCGAAATTCAGCCAAGGATATTTTCACATTTAACAACAACGTCGAACAAAATATTTCATTTAATAATATTGAATTGTTGGTATAGTTTATGCAAAGTCAGTTGAACAGATCATCAAACGAATGTCGGCCGCGCAGCCGCTCTCTTTGAACTTAAAAGGGACCAACGGCTTGCTGTGATGTGTCTTTCCAACTGACTTGCATAAACTTTATCTATACGGGTTTTAAAGGAGATTATGATTCTTCTGTCTGAATTGGTGAATTCAAGATGGCGAAATCACAATGCCGGTCGAGTTTTGTAATTATGATCCGAATCTATTCCAATTTGTATCGTGGTCGGAGATGATGATTCTTTCGATAAAATTCAAGATGACGGGTCAAATATGGTGGACAAGTTTTGTAATTATAAGATCCGATTCTTTCAAAAATTAGTATCTGGGGGTTTTCGGAGTGGGAGATTATGATTCTTTTGTCAAAATTGGGTACTTACAAAAATTATAGATACCAAAAAACACGCTTCAATATGTACTTCTAGCTGAACCGAAAACTAGAAAATTGGTATTAGAATAATAGTGGCCAGGTAGCCGCGCGGACGAAGCGTCAATATTCTAATTCGCTGGTCGTGGGTTCAATTCCCCGCGACTGTAGAAAATTTTCTGATGGCCCAAAAAAGTGTTTGTGATCACACGTTAAAATGTAAGGCCCCCGCCATTCCTTGCTCGCACGAGTCTCTTGAAGACTTCTGAGGGTTGCTCGTGAGGGGGCAACGGAATGACGGATAGAACGATTTTTTTTTTAGTTCAAAGAACTAAAGAAACACGCTTTTATTGGTAGCCAAACGCCAAACTAAAAAGAAGTAGAAAATAAAATTATAAAAGTGTGTTGATAAATACGCAAGAGTGTACTGAATAGGGAGGTGCAAATATTCTCTATCTTGTGTATTCATCAACACACTTTTATTATTTTATTTTCTACTTCTTTAGGTTTACATGATGTTACAGTATGCCGAGTGATCATAAGAATCTCCAGGGAGATATTCCATCAGAAGTGAAGCCCAATTTCACTCCATGAGGTGTATCCGCAAGAGGCAGTCGGTAGTTGGTCGTTGGGAAACATTAATTCAGATTCTCTGTTTTATTTGGAACATTTTTGCTCTTCTTAATTTTTTTTTTCAAGATGAATGCAAAAAATAATTTACTTGTGAGAAAACTTTATTTTCCAAATGCCTGGGAGGCTTGGAATGATCAAAAGCTTTCTTAAGATGTGTTAATGAAACTCAGTTGCAGAACTAGAAAAACACAAAATAAAAAGTATATAAAAATATCACTCCACCTGAATATCAGGAAAAAGGCTTCAACGCATATTTATGTTTATATCAGATTGTTATCTTAAAATAGTATCTTATTTAAGCTGTTGAAGTCCTGCTACAAAAAACTGACTCACCCTGTATATTATCTATACCGACATATTATGGTATCGAACAAATTCAGAATTTTACAAATTTTCTATTGAACTATTGAATCTTCAAACTCAAAACAGATTCTTGAATAATTTTCAGAATATATCTATGAAACGGTAATGGATGACATTACATTATTAGGATATTTATTTAATTAAGTGCGCCCATGACCTCTGATTTTGGTCTTTATGAATGAAAGGAAACAAAAGGGAAATGGAGGTGTTTCGGGGAAATGCAAGGACTTAGACTAAGAGGAAGTTTGGGAAAATACGAGAAATTAAGGAGGAAATGAAGGAAATGGATGTGAATTAGAAGAATTTCGAGGAATTGTGAGGAATTCGAGGAGTTTTCGGGAAACGAATAGGAAATCAGAGAAATGAATAGAAAAAAGGAATTTTTCGTACACTATTCAGGCTGTGGTCAACCCCTAGCTCTGATGCAACCACAAAAATAGACTGGAGACAATTCTGAAGATGTATATTTTTTCGGTATTATTTGCTTTTGTTTGTTTAGTTTTCCCTTGGTGTGCATTTCTATATCAGTGTATGAATATGTTGAAGGATTTGCAGGGTATCGTTTTTATATTATTTGCTAAAAAAGTGGTCAACAGTTGCTGTGGCTCACACCCTAGCTCAATGCCATGAGAATCGTTTGAGCCATTGTTGAATAGTCTAAATTTCGTTGCAACTATGGACTCCACCATCCAGGAAAAATGGGTAAGTGACAGTAACCACTGGATCATTAATTAATTCTATGTTTTTCTAATTTTTTTTTTTGATGTAATGATTTCCATGAAAAGGGATATCAATGATAATATACAATGTGTCATTTGAAAATAAAAAGTGAGGGGTAGCTACCACAAGAAAAAAAGTAGTAGATTTTAGCTCCAGGTTGTGTTATATCCCAACACTAGCAAAGGGAGACAAAAAACTATGAGCTAAAATCTAATATTTTTACCATGTATAATACACTTTTTTTGTGAAAGAAAAAAGGTGGAATCAATATTAGAAGATATTACATTATATTGAAATCAGAAAATTATCAATGTGAAATTTGAAGTTTTTAACAGTAATGACACCTATGTTGCAGTCATCTTTATCACTCTTTTCAAATAATCAAATACTGTACAGTCTGATTCTGTGATTTTATTTTAATACATTGCAAATTTGATGATTGTTTGGTAATGTATATCACCAAGAAGTCCAATGGAAGATAAAAGGACTTGCAGTTGTTTTTTGGAGATGGTGTTATTGGCTTTTTTTCTGAACTATAGCACAACAGAAGCCATCAACAGTGTATATATATGTGATATATATACAGGAAAAGTGACATTTTATAACCTGTCAACAGAGATGAAATGCCAAATTTTTGCCAGTTTCTTCATGTTTTCAAATAGGAGAGATATTGCCTGCATATGATAACTTGGGACACCTGGTAAATTTAATAATTGATTCTTTATAAGTGAGTGATTTTCAATGACACTCTGAATTGTATACTATGATAACATGAATAAAGATGGATCAGTAATCAGTTGATTCAAAGTCATCATACCACCTTTAGATTCAAGTGTATAAAATAGGTATTAGGTCAACAAAATACAATAAGCCTAAGCTTCAAGATGATACTCTAACCAAATCTCCATCCAACCAGTGTGATATTAGCTAATCTACAGAGAGCAAATGACTTTCTTCATTTTGATTTGTTTGATCAGAATAGGGAGTGAAATAAGTATTTGTATTTTGGAAATTCAAAGACATATAACAATGATAACAAAATGTGAACAATTTGGTTAGAAAAATACAATCTATGTATCTAATTGAAAATATTAATTAAGCATAATTGATTGAAATAATGAAATATTTGGATGGCCTGGAATTACTTTCAGAGAATAATGATAACTTCATTTAAGAAAGGCTAGGATGGAATAGTAAAATATGTTGAATGTTAAGTTTTCCATTTACTGGTGATGAATGAGTTAAATGATTGAATACTGAAAACACTGAAGATCCACACAATATTGAAATGAAATGTAGATGAAGGAACCTAAGCAGGTTGACATCTCAGGTTCTCATTTTCCTACTTAGCCCAACTAATGGAAAGTAGCTATACTGAACCTTAGGAACCTATATACTTCAGGCTTGTTGAATATGGCAATTTCATATAACATTTTTTGCCAACATATTTTGTGGTTTACAGAGTATGTGCAGTTTGTGGAATCTATTATGGTTCAACCACTAACTTACGGCTTGACTTGTGGTTCAATTCTCAAAATGGGCTGGGATATTGGCCAAACAATGTAACATATAGGTAACTACATTGATGAAAACTATTGCCAAGATATTTGTGAACAAATGCATTGTTTTCAAAGAAGTATAATAATAAAACTCAAATATATGACTTACATATTCAGTACATAGTTTGATCTTCACTGCATTTCTAGAATCCAAATAGAATATGCACCCAGCACACATGAATATTTCTTTTTCATTGGCAAATAATGAAAAATCCACAGATATTTCTTTGAAATTACTCCATGACTGTGAAATCTTGACAATCAATTCTTCTCCTCCACACAGTGAACAATTATGACTTGCTTCAACTGCTGTTTTACTATTTGACTGTATTTTTTCACTAGTTTCTTTCAATAAAATTAGTTTGTGAAGACAAGAAGGACACAACCTGACCAAGGCAGCACAATTCCTCAGCTGAAAATAAATATAGTACTATCAATAAAATGAATAAAAACATATAAATCGGTTTCCGGCTTACAGCGTTAATATTGAATATTTTTTCTGTAAATAAAGAGACCAATATTTTCTGAATTTTGTTTTTTGGTAGCACCGATATTACTTGCGCCAAACCACAACAAAAACATGTCCCTCGTTCTAACTCCATTCTGAGTACTAACAGCACATTTCTAGAAGGAATAAAAACGCTTCTACAGCAATAAATTCTTCAAATTTCTAAAGAGCGCGGGATTACAGATATTACAGTAGACATTTTTAATAAACAATTATATTAGCCAAACTGACAAGTGAAGTGACAACTGACAATCTGTCAATACTGTCAATGCTGACAATGACGGAACGATACCTTTGAGTGACTCCAACTTAACGAAACAAACAAAGTGCCTCGATAACCTGCACCGGCTACCAAAATGAATGAAATGAAGTAATCATTCGAATGACTTCAGCTACCCTAAACCCACAAATCATTACACTTCAGGGATATTGTCACAAACTGTAGGCGGGGGTGTAGGGTCCCTTGATGCGAACTGACGTATTTGTCATCATAATGATCCTCGTCTCCTCTCACTCTAAAGTGTTTGTGAAGCAGTTATATAGTTCCATCCTTATTCAATTCTGGGGATAAACCCAATGATTGGATAAACCATGGATAAACACTAGATTTTTGACATTCGTTGTTTTTAAGGTTATATTGAGGTCACTGGCGTATCATATGTAATTTCCATATGGAACTCCTGATTCAACTATACCAAGATATAGATGAACAATCCTCTAGTTTCAGAGTTTACTACTCCAGCATAATCTTTGCGAGGTAGGGAACATATAAATTGTAATGAAAGCTTCATGAATTTCACCAAAAGCGACTGTTCTTAGACTGTATACCAGGGTTGACTGAATGAATTCTGATTTCAAGCTGAGTAAAACCTCGATATGGGTATCTTAAATAGTCTAATCGTGTGTTGAATATATTTTCGAAAATCCAACTCGGAGAAGAATTTATGGAGTGACTAATATCACACTATGATAAAACTTGTTTTGCTCTGCATAATATTTCTAGAAAATATTCTTTTAGTTTGATATTTACCAGCACACTATATTCATTCCATTTTCTACTTCTTTTTAGTTCGGCTACTCATGGAAGCGTGTTTTTTTAGTTTTTCAAAATACTATTCATTTGGTAGATACATTTTCCTGCTCTATAGCAGACAAATAAACGTGTCTGGTATATTTACTATTAAATACCATATGATGTCACCTTCAATTTTTTCCCAAGGGAGAAAAAGTAATTTTCCTCCCTAGGGAGGAAATGTACGACGTTGCTCCCTGCATTGAGTTTTTTCCGCACTTGTGCATCTAAAATCTTGTAAGGTGATAAGCACAATGAAAAAGTATTCGTGATTTTTATTATTTTTATCACGCATATATTGCTCAATTTACCGATTTTCCAGTTCGGTTTCTTTATATATGTTTACTTTCCATGTTTTGAGTTTACCTTCATCTGTTGGAAAGCTTACAAATTGAAATTTGCCATCTAACTGAGTGGCACAGCTTAACACAGCACATTTCGCCATTTTTTTCAAAAGAGAATAGGAAAATATCGTATTAAGTAAATAATATCCTTATTAAATCGTAGAATGTTCTTATTTTCTTGAGTTTTATAATCATTAACATTCGATCAGAAATCATTTGACACTGTCAATATTTTCTTTTTTCAACAATATGCAAAGAGTATCGGGAACGAATAATAAATATCATTACGAGATTACTAGCTGACTTGGCAAACGTTGTCTTGCTATGCACAATATTTCTAGAAAATATTCTTTTAGTCAAATATTTCCAGCACACATTATTTATTTCATTTTCTACTTTTCCTCAGTTTGGCTATTCATATAAAAGCGTGTATTTTTAGTTTTTCAAGATACTATTCATTTTATACTCGTTTTCAGCTCGGCAATTTATCTCTTCAGTTTTTTATACTACTATTTATGTTCTACTTCTTCTCAATTCGACTAAGTATCTACGAACGCGTGTTCAATTGATTTTTCAAACAACTAATTATTACAAAGCTCGTTCGCCATATTGGATCCATCATCTTAAATATCCAAATTTTGACAAAAAATCATAAAGTTCGACCCCGAAAACCCCCAGATACCAAACTTTAATAGAATCAGATCATAATTAGTAATGTCTTCCGCCATATTCGATCCGTCATACTGAATTTTACAATTTTCACGAAACAATCATTATCTCCTACCCCGAAAACCCCCAGATACCAATTTTGAATAGAATCGGATCATAATTACAAAACTCGATCCCCATATGATCTTCCTCAACAAGTAAATACCCTGTACAAGTGTACATACCTATTCTTAAAATTTTGAATGATTTCCTGTAGCGCCCATGGACGTGACGTGACCGCAATGTCAGGAATGCCAGTAAACAAAACTTTAGTCTCTAGATCATTAAAAAAGAATGCAGCTGTACCCCAAGCTGTACCCTGTTAAGATGACTTAACGTCAATTTCCATCAAGGGACTCTAGCGAAGCCAAGCACGCATATTTTGCGAGTCTGACAGACTTATTTGATCCGAATCAAACATGGTATTTTTTCTGCAATCGAAATAATTGATAACTAATTAATAAAATATGAGTGGAGTTACTATTATTTTGACTCACTTGAGCATGTCCCTGTCAAAGCAGCTATTATATCAGCTGTCTTCCGACTCACTTTTAGTTCCTAGGAGTAAAACGTCAACTTTAGCTCCTAGACACTAAAAATTTTGCCTAGCATCATACATAAAAATAGTCAATATAATGAGAAAAATTCATTATAATGAGAAAAAGGTCATTATAATGAGAATGAAGTCAATGAGAAAAAAGTCATTATAATGAGAAAAAAGTCATTATATAATGAGAAAAAAGTCATTATAATGAGAAAGAAATCATTATAATGAGAAAAAAGCCACTATCATGACTTTTCAAGAAAAGTTTGCGTTTTTACCAGAGTGTTTTCGTACGATAGTGATGTTATTTTTCTTCAGGATCGATGAGCAAAATTTTCTGTAGACTTGAATTGGTTATTGACCTACCAAGAATAATGCTGCAACTGCAATTAAGCTGCAACGTTCACCCACCGCAACGATTATTTGTTGCTATCTGTCTCTAGACGCTATTATTTCTTTTGCAACCGAATGCGCTGTTTTTTAGACACAGCCAAAACTAAATGTCATTTTGATGATTTTGACATTGAAGTTGAATTATTTGATCATTGTTTGTTTTTTATGTTTGTTGCAGGAAATAAAATTGTAGTAAATGAAATGTAAGTACGAAATGGCTGGGTTTCGGGACATAGACAAAGCCTTATTCCCGATAAAAAATATCAAAACTGTTGTAAAACTATTCAGAAATCAGTTGGAAACTGCTCCAGAGCCAGACCTAGCCTTACTCTCGATTGTCACGGGTATTATTGAAAATTCATTGACGAGCCGGTCAAATGCCGCACTTCAGCTTTGTGAACCAGTAGAACAAAATAGCTTACCAAAATTAGATATTGATACTGTGGAAATATTGTATAGCAAGTTCAGCAATGTTATGTTCGGTGCTATTGAGCCTAACAAAACAAAATCATTTGCTACTAGAGAACTGGTGAAGAGAGTATCAGATGTAATTTGGAATTCTCTAACAAGAAGTTACTACAAAGACAGGGCACACTTACAAAGTTTGTACAGTTATTTGAGTGGTAGCAAGCTAGATTGCTTTGGAGTAGCATTTGCAGTTGTAGCTGGCTGTCAAGTATTGGGCTATAATGATGTGCATCTAGCATTATCAGAAGATCATGCCTGGGTTGTATTTGGTGAGAATGGAACAGACACTGCAGAAGTAACTTGGCATGGAAAAGGTAATGAGGACAAAAGAGGCCAGGAAATAGGCAAAGGTGTCTCAGCAAGATCATGGTTATATGTCAATAACAAACCTGTAGTATGCAATAGACATATGGAAGTTGCAGCTTTGGTATCTGCCATAAATCCATCTTTGAATGCCACAGAAGATGCTTATGAGGTATCACTGTTACAACAAGAACTGCTGTGGCTCCTATATGACCTAGGTCATCTGAAAAAATATCCCATGGCTATTGGAAACTTGGGAGATTTGGAAGAAATATCTGCCACTGAGGGAAAAGTTCAATGTAAAGCTTTGTTTGAGGAAGCTATTGCTTCTGCAAGATCCTATTACAACAATCAGCATGTGTATCCTTACACCTATCAAGGAGGATACTTTTATCGTAATAAGATGTATGAGGCAGCCTTTGAAAGTTGGGCAAATGCTAGTGATGTGATAAGACTGTAAGTTAACCACCATCCTAGTTGAATAGTCCTTTGTGCTCTTACTTTCATTCAAATTCAAATAATATTTGCTCAAGTTGTTGCATATGAAATATTTCTTTAACATTTAAATTATGTGAATATCATCATAACAATAAAAAAAATGCTGCTACTTTTCTGAAATTTCTAAAATTGATAAGTATGCTTGGAATCTCTTGGTAAAAATAGTGAAAATATGAAGTGGAAGTTACTAGTAAGGAAATTGTACCTAAGATGTCTTCAGGCTGAACAGTTGTTATTCAATCAGCAACACAAACAAAAACACATCTCATATACAGCACCCAAAATCATAAATTTATGAGTAAATTTACTACCACAAAATTTAAAAAATAGACAATTCAAAAGTATAGCCAAGGATTTATCAGAATGTATCTGCCAGAGGTATACATTCCTTTGCCAGCATCTTCAACTACTAGTATAGTTGTATACTATTATTTTCATACCCAGATGAAATTGTAGACTTGTGATGTTGTAGAACATTTCAAATCCATTGGAATTCTTCAAAAATTGCTATGAATAATAAAATAATAATATAAATTGTACATGGTACCTAAAACATAAAATATATTATTGGAATGTGCTCACACAAATCCTTCAAGGATTTATCTGGCACTGTTTTTGTCCAGCATCATTGTTCTTAATCAACTATGTTTCTTATTATATATATTTATTTATTTATAGTTTCTTGAAATAGGGTTGATTAATAATCAACACACACAGATTTCAAAATCTATTGTGCTGATAATATTTAGTATAGTTAGGTAATAACATAAACTAATATAATGAAATTGAGAAATGTTAACTATGTACCTGAGATAGGGAATAAATTCAACATTTCTTTCAATATGACTCCCCTAAATAATAATAATAATAATATCAAGAATGATATACATCATTTTAAAAAATGCTTTTTATGTCAGAGGAACGAGCAGAGGAAACATTAAACAAAGATTGAAAAAATTTCTTGAAAAACAAAAAACAAAATTAATTGAAATTTTTATCTTTGGAATATAATTCTAATTTAATAAGCTAGTTTTTCAAATGATTCTTGAATCTTGTCATGCTATCAATCACTTTCAATTCATTTGATAATCTATTGAACATTCTAATTGCTGTATTGTCTTGATTTTTTTTTTTTTATTTTTTTTAAGCGTTTATTTCATCCCAAAATACACAGAGTGTTACATAGGGATACCTCTAATAATAGGTGCAAAAATAATTTGATATCACACACTTCTGCCCTTCGTGGGCATGTCAATAATCAATCACTATATCTACAGGTAAACATATAAGAAATGTATAAAGTTAAGTTCTAAATATAAAAATTATGGTAGAATAACACAATAAACAAGTTAAGATGTATCACAGTGAAATAGTTGAGATAATAAAATATTTGGTTAGATATATCACAGTAGTAGGTTAATGACTGATATAATGAAATATTGCTTTCAATGGGTATACAAGGGAACGTGTCTCTTCATGACAATTTTAAATTTGTTAACATTCAATTTTTTTATGTTGGAGGGGAGTTTGTTATATTCTGCTGCTCCTTTATATAACAGTGAATTCAGGCCATGACGTGAGCATATTCGTGGTAAAGATATATCTTTGCATTGTCTAGTTTCATATGGATGAATTTCATATCTCATAGGGAACTCCATTTGAGTGTGTCTCACCTGATTCAGTGCTTGATGAATAAATTCATTAACTTTCACCACATAGAGGCTATCCAGGGATCTAATATTGTATTTGCCGAACAAATTTGATGTTGTAGATCTCATTGGTAATTGATACAGGTTTTTGATGGCTTTGTTCTGTAGTGTTTTCAGTGGTGTTATATAACTCTCAAAAGTTGAGCTCCATATGATGATTAGGTATTCCAGATGGGAATGAACTAGGGAGAAGTAAACTGACCTCAATAGATATTTTGGCACAGTATAACTTAATCTCCGAAGAACACCTACTGGTCCTATAATTTTTTTGCGTACATATTCAATGTGCTCATGCCATGAAAGCTTTTCATCAATGATCAGGCCAAGAAATTTAATTTTACTTGAGTATTTCATAGTACTATTTCCAAATGATATTTCTTTTTTGGTGTAATCAGGCACCTTACATTTATCAATCCACATGAAAGAAGATTTATTCAAATTGAGGGTCAACTTATGGCAAGATAACCATTTGGTCAAGCACTGGAGGTCTTGTTCGATGTTCTGAGAGATGACATCACATGTTTCTCCAAAGTATACAATTGTTGTATCATCTGCATACAGACGGACTTCCCCTCTAATTGTTATGTTCGTTAAAGAGTTGATGTAAATGAGGAAAAGGGTGGGACCTAAAATCGATCCCTGTGGTACACCACAGGTAATTTTTTTCTTTTCACTAGAATATGAACCGTATTGGATGAATTGCTTTCTATTTGATAGGTAGTCACGAAACCATGTGACATACTTCCCCTGAACACCGATCATTCTCATTTTTTCCAGTAAGATATCATGGTTGACTGTGTCAAAGGCGAGGGGGTAATCACTCCCAATTTATGTGTCCCACAATGTAATACTATTACATGTATTACATGCCATTACACATGTATTGCATGAGTATTACATGACTATGCAATGTATTGCAAGGGTATTACAACAATATGTAATAGTATTGCATGTGTATTACATCGTATTACTCAGTATTACATGGTCATTCAATGGTATTACATGTAATTGTAATAGTATTGCACTAGTATTACATGACCATGTAATACTATTTCATTAGTATTTCACGATCATGTAATAGTATTGCACTAGTATTACATGATTATGTAATAGTATTACACTAGTATTACATGACTATGAATAGTATTCCTCAAGTTTATAACAGGTATACATCTCGGCCATGTTATGTGTGATCACTTAACCCTTTTACTTTAATGTCATCATCTGAAATGGAATTATATTAACTACATGTACATACAAAGCGTTTTCCTAGGCATTTGTGGAAATCATAATCAAATTCAATCAATCTTATTACGGTAGATTCCGTAAAAATCGGAATAATCAACGTGTTTGTTCAGTATCATTGGTAATTCTTTTTTAGCAAAATTCTCCAACTCACTGAAACAATCATCGTTGAAATGTTTCATTGCATCAATAGAATCATAACCATAGAGAGTAAGGAGATTTTTCAGATATGTTGGCATATGTGTAACCCCATTTTTTCATGTATCAAGGTCCAAAAGCGGTTATTTTTTGCATCTTCAATTGATAATCTTGCGACTGATTTATCAGCTGCATCCACGGCTGCAATAGTATCGGTTCTGGAAATAGTAACAACACAATTTTGTGAGATTACATTGATAATTCCGAGGATAATTCTCTTTTTCTTCAGAGTATAGGTGTTTCTTATGTTTTCTTATCTCTCTGATTCAATGAAAGGAGCGAATCCTCACTTGAGTTCATGAAGAAAATGTGAGATGTCGCTTAGTTTTCAGAATACACGGTGTTCAAATTTTGTTTTAAAATCGGTTTCTTACGATGTTTTTTATTGTTATTGCAGACCCAATAAGAGGTTCGACTATCCATTAATAGAAAAAAAATCAAGTCCTGTGGCGTCCGGAGGAGCACCTCAACCAATACGAGGACCATATCATTGACAAAAAAAATATACGTCACTGAGTTTTTCTGTATTTTTTTTTTCATATTGAGCAAATAATATAAACAAGTTCTTATCTTCTGAGGTGTTTCCGTATATCGCTTAGTTCTCGAGATAAAGTATAGAAACCACTTTATTGCATGTCCATAGAACTCATAAAACTCGACATAAAAACAATGAAAAAAAAAACACGTAAAATGTATTCATTAAAATTGCTTGCAACAATGAAATATCAAGGCGAATTTATGATATGAAGGTTTTGGCGCTTCACTTTCGAAATACAGACTTAAAAAAAATCATGTGTTTTTTATGGGTTTTGTGTGGTCCATTGACATGCAATAAAGTGGTTTTCATTTTTTTATCTTGAAACATAGTGTGATACGGAAACACTTCAGGAAATAAAAAAGTTGTTTCATTAATTGCTCAATCCGTAAAACATATTGAAATTACACAAAGTCTTCGGCTTATATTTTTTTGTCAATGATATATTGGTTAAGGTGCCCCTCCCGACGCCACTGGACTTCATGATTTGTTTCTATTGATGGCTAAATAAGCGCCTCATAACTCAAAATAATGATACCGTATTTCAACGAAAATTGTTGAAGCATGTTTACAATAAAAATAAAAAACCGATTCAAAAACAAAATTTGTACATTTTGTATTTTGAAAACTAAAAGTAACATTGGAAATAAAAATTTCTACATTTTCATCTTGAAATTAAACTAACGATTAGCTCCTTTCATTTCATCAGACAGGCTATGAAACACCTTAAATTGGAACGCTCTTCAATAGAAATGAAAGCACGACATTCTACTAATGGACCAAAATCGAGACCAAAATTATATAGTAGTAGTAGTAGTATATCACAGAAGATGGCCACACGCTTATGAACTTGGCCACTGAAATTGTCGCAGGTATCTCTCTCTGGTTCCTGCAAGTCTCAGAATTCTACCTCAATTATTACGGAAGATACCTTGAGAAGTGATACCTTGAATGAGGCACTGTTTTATCACTCTGTAACTTTCTGTCAACGTTTTTCTGATTACCATTTCATGGAACCATTTATTTTGTACAGATAAGTAGATCGATGGTACCTTTTATTAATAATTGAAAGAAACACATTTTCCAAATGTTAGATGTAAGTGAGTACTATAATTTTGTTATTGTCAAAAACTCTCGAAATATGACAATGTTCAATGTTACTCAAACATTTTCAACCATACCGTTTTTTTCTAGGGGGGATAAGGTAACAACCCTAATACCCCCCTTGTGTACGCGCCTGTGGCCTGTGATGAGTTCATACATAACATTCT